GGCTATACCCGTGATCGAGGATTCGAAAGAGGTGGACCCATTTTACGTGTAAAGTGAGGGAAACCTCGCATCATATTTGTGTACTTAGTATTTCAATTTCTTAAAAAAAAGGTGATGGTCGCTACAATAAGACTTTAAGTCGGTGTGCGATCGATCGAAGCGCGAGATGCAGTTCGTCATGGCGTTGACCACATTCAATGGAGTTTGTAGCCATTTGCTGGACAACTTGGTCAATTTTATCTTGGTGATCAGCTTCCATCGCTTTCACTTCGGTACTTAACGCCCGGATCTCTCGCGAATAAATTTCCATGCCTTCGTCGACTGCACATCGGATTCGAGTGTGATTTTTCAACAAATTGTCAACAGCATTCTTCGTGCGATATTCTTGAGAAGAGACGGCATCGGAGAGTGTATCCAAACGTTGAGTTAGTTGCGTTTTGTCCAATTTGCCTTGTCGATCAATACTTTCTTGCAATGTCTTGAGTTTGCCTACCCACTGCGACTGTTGCTTTGATACTACGCCTCGAAGTGACGAGTATTCGTTTGCAAGTACCTGAACATCACTCGCCAGTGTCGAGGTAGTTCCAATCGTTTGTTCTTTAAGACCAAATACCTCTAATTGGAGGTGGCTACTCTCCTCTTTAAGTCGTTTTAGAGCGTCCATCGCATCTTCTTGTGACATCTGTAAGGATTTCTGTAATTGTGCAGCTTCTCGCTCACGGGTCATGAGATCTTCTGAGGCATTTTTTACATGGGCCAGCTCCGATTGAGTCTCGTAAATTAACAATTCGATCTTCGAGCAGGTCTCTTGGACACTAAGAAAGCGCCGGTCCGATGTTTCTTGATGTTGTCGACGTTTGCCATCCATACGTGGCACTTGAGACTCTAAGACGCCGACAGAATGTTCCAACTTAGCAACACGATCTTGGAGTTGAGATGTCGTGGCCGCAAACTGCTTTTGGAACTCCTCTGATAAAACAATTAACGTTAAAAAGCAATACAAGTAAATGTGCGTAAGTATCTTACCGACTTCACATGTGAAGACATCAGATAATGAGTTGAAGGCGTTTTGCAGCACATCGACCTAATATAAAAATAAAATTATTGTTAGCGATTACTAGCACATTTAAAATAAAAATAATGAATGTGAACTGATCACCTTGCCAGCCAATTCGTGCAGAACTTCATCTCGCTGGGTTACTTCTTGGCTTTGAATCTACAGGCAATCGTTTCCTTTAGTTTTAAATTAGTGCCCTATAATTTATGATTTCGTACTTGAAGGTTGTTCTTGAGCTCTTCGACGTCCGATGCTAGAGCACTCTACACAAGTTTGGATAAAATAACAGCACAATGGGAGTAGTGACCATAAGAACGCACCGTCTTCTTGGTCAATGATACAGCGGATAATGACTTGGTGGTCGTGGCTACGGCCGCTTTGGAGCTCTCTGTTGGCCGACGCAGCACCATGGCCGGGCAGCTGAACAGAGCTGACTTCTCACGCAACGCCACAGGCCTTCACGGTGTCCGTTATTGTCCGTTTTACTCCGGAAAAGGTGGTGCAACCTGAGACGCGGAGCTTTAGCTGGGATAGCTGGCCCTTTCCGCCTCTTCCTCTTAAGTGCTGGATGGTCGTGTCGTCATCTCCTTGCCAAGGGATAGCTGCTCTTGCAGTCCCGAGCAGTCATTATAGAGCTTATGGTTACAAGTCTTGGACAGACTACGATTCGCACGTCTGAATTGCGTACCAAGCGCTCGGATCGGACAGTCTAAAGTGTCGATTGTTGCGACTTTCCGCCGTGCGTAAGGCTGCATGAAATCTATGCGGTTGTAGCAAATAGAGGAGCTGTTCGGAAGCGTCCAGCTAATCGAGTTTTTGAGTTATTCTGCGACTCAAAGAAAAAAATTTCCAATGAATCCGCTGGCTGGTGTGTTCGGATCTGCAACGGCGCGAGCAACTTCCGGATGATCGTAGCCGGAGTTCGTGCTGAGCACCTGCGTTAGCGGTAATTTCTCCGTTTAACAGCTTTACGCCACCAGCCAGCAGCAATTTCTCTTGCGTCGTCAAAAGGCATCTCCGGCCAACCGGCGACCGTGTGAATTGAAACCACCACCCCTCTAGCTCATTGCAAGGAGATGAATATTCATGTTAATGTCTTAAATGGCTTTAGCATAGCGCAGAGAAGTCCTCAGCTGCAAGGGTTCGCTATGAACTTCTTGTGACTACATGTAGCTACTTTTGTCAAGACAATAAGAATCTACTTGAAGTGGGCGCCTTCATCGGAATGAGACCAGGAATTATCAACCAATCGGAGAGCAAGAGCTCACCACACGGTATCCGTAGGGCCCGACCAAAGTTGCACGTTGAAGCCTGCCTCATTTGATGCTAAGAGCTCTCGTTGATCCTTCGGGCTTCGGCAGGTATTCATCGAAGCGCGGTGAGACTCACAAGAACTTCTTGTTGCCAACTATGACGAATTTTCAGCCAGTCCTCGCTTCCGCAGGCTGTTTCAGCGTACTGAGATGAGATGCTGCCGAAGTCTCACCAAATTCGACACTGGTCTATAAGCAGCTTTCGTACGCCTTAAAGTCTCTGCCACAAATGAACATCTTTGCTTCAAGCATGCCCATCCTTGCGAAGCTGCAGTTGTTTTGGTGCCTCAAATAGACGCAAAATGCATGCAATACTCAGTAGGAATCGGACTGAAAAAGTGTGCCAAAAATCGCACTGGGATGAGTGGCGACGGAAATTTCCATAAATGTCTGTCTGGCCAGTGGCCACACCCACTCAGCCCCCCAAATGGGTCTTCATTCGGAGATTTGCTCAGTCCGTAACAAGTTCCACTCAACGCTCATGGCCTCAGTCGCGCCGCCTCGCCGGGCTATGTCCGAGAGCTACAAACACACGTATCTAGCCACTTTGAGTGAAGACACGGAGGATCCGCTAAGCTCGCAGCCGCTGCCCATTGGGCCGGTGGACGACCACCACCCGCTCGTATTGGCTGTAGACCACGATGGTGAGCCTTTACTGGCGCTACAACACCGCTCCAAGTCCGAGGGCTTCATTTGCACGGCCCAGGGCATCGTGTTTGAGGACAACAAGAGCGTATATAGCTCCAAGCTCAGTAGGCTCAAGGCGTTGGCCTCTAACTCGAACGCCCTGGGCACGCAGAGTAACGTGCTGTTGGCCAAGAAGGCGCTCCGGTATCGTAAAGCGATTGGGCGGCGCCGTAAGATGGAGTGAAGTCAAGTCTCCTCCATGGCCTCGCGTCGCCAGACGGTCGTCTGCGATTATTAGAAGCGGCGTGGCAATCGACCTGGACGCTAAAATGACGAGTCATCCACCCCATTGCGACGCTGGAGGCCTATCGAGAAGAGGACGGGGGCTGTGGCTGCATGTGAGGCAGCTGCAGCTTAATTATTATCATAGTTGTGTATTTTACCCCTTCGAGTGCAAAGGTGACTCCGCACTGAGTTGGTGATGTTTGTTTCTGAGTTGTAGTGCAATAGCATGTTGAGAGAAAATCGCAGCGATTTACGCTATCGATTACGTGTCCCTGAATTTCATTTCTTTGCGTACCGGTTTATGGAGCAGTACATGTAGTCACGGACGACTTGTGTGCTTGGATGGCCGTACTACAACACCCTACAAACTTTTTTTTCCAAAAGCAGGTACTTATTTGAGACTTGATGATGTTCTTAAGAAAAAAAACATTATTTCTCAGGGTAATGAATGAGGTCACAAAGGAAACAGCAGATGATAAGTGTAGTCTCCGCTAAACTATTTAGTCAAAAATAGGCTTGCAAAATTACCAAAACTGACTGGTCTGAGGTGCTAAATTATGAGAAATGTCACTATTGCGCAGAATGTCCTTATTAGGCAAGCACAACACATGCTACTTGCACCCTCCTTCCTGATTAGCTCGCATGTGAGGTGCGATAGCATAGCAACTTGCTCGTCGGCTACAGGCTGCATGGATATTACGGGTGCAAATGGTTCCATTGTCTCTTTTTTTGCTTCGCCGCTTCGCCTCGTGCTGTTTCGTAAAAGACTATATCCGGCTTTTTGACGATAGCGTTGATCTTTTGTATGGTGACTCAGTAAAAATAGCAAGCCTTCTCAGTGTTTCCCATATTTTTTGCCTATAAGCTGCATTTGCAGGTAATTCGGCACACGAATTTGAGCAGCTGTGCAGCTTCCACGCTCTTATTGGCGCTTCTCCCACAAAGCTAAATATTTGCTTTAAGTGACTAAGAGTTCATGTACCTCGTGGCCTGGGGTCTCTCCCTTCAGCTCTGCTTAAGTACCTTCCCTAGTTCACAGCCGGCGAGGACGTACAAGAGTTGTGGTGTGCAAGAAGCTGGTAATCGATTGTGTGACGTTTGTGTTGCTGAAGCTATTGAGTTGCTTTAACGAAGGTGCACTTAAGTTTTTTACACCACGATTTGAAACCATTATTATCTAATAGAATTTCACTCGACCGTCGGAGCCTCGCTTTTTTTTAAGTTAGAAGAGTTCAAGTGTGCCGTGAGCGTTTGCTACTTATGAGAAGTTGAGGTGTGTATGTGTGTTGTGTGCACGGCATTGTATTATAATGGAGTATTTCATCAACCATGGGTCTAAAACTTAGTGCACAATGCAGATGCACAAATCTGTGGAGGGACTGCTTCTTAGCCTTGACTTGAAGTCTGCAATCTAGGTTTCAGGTAGAGCGTTGGGTGAATGCTAGCTTGGGAGCAGGTTTTAGTGGCTCCTGCGTGGCTGAACACGATGAGATGGAGAAGATGGCGGCTGACACGGCCGTGAACTGTGGTGCAAGCAATGGCGGCCCGCAGGTGGCAATGCATATGGGGAAGCCTAACGGGCAGCATTATTGGCCGAATGAAGGTCCAGGCCCCGGCCCTGGTCCTCGAGGGCAGATGCAGACCACCGGTGCAGGCAAACGACGTGCCATTCGCTGCTACCATTGTAAGAAAGTTGGACACATGCGGAAAGACTGTTGGCACTACAAAAACAAGCAAAGCAAGGCCCAAGCTGGCAAAGGCAAGGCCACCGAGACGAAGAAGCCGAGCAACAGCGGTGGAGGTAATTCCTCGGGTTTGGCCAGTAAGCCAGTGGGTTCTATGGGCTTCATGCGGTTCACTGCGGATGCTGGTCGTGAGGACGACAGCAGCAGTAGTAGTAGCAGTTCTGAAGGCGAACTTCCATTTGTGGGTATGGCAATTAAAGAAGGAAGACATGAGCTTAGTGGCGATTGGCTGCTGGACTCGGGAACGTCTTCGCATGTGTGCAACCAAAAAGAACAATTCACAAGCATGAAGAAATCCAAGGCTTCGTTCAAAGTATGGGACGGCGGCATCACGCGTAGTAAAAAGTGCGGTAAGGTGCTGCTGAACGCATTGAACGTGCTGAGTGGTGGTGAAACCACGCTGGAACTGGATAAAGTGGTGTTTTCACCCACTGGACCTGTGAATTTGCTCAGTCTTGGACTGATGGTAAACAAAGGCTGGGAGCTGTCAACCAGTGCGCCTGGAGTGCTACCGAAGAAGCAATTTTTGACTCGAAATGGAGTCTGTGTGGAGTTCATTTATCATGGGACTCACTACTGGTTAAACAATGGTAGCTTTGGCGATAACAGTGCTGTGATTATGGCGACTGTAAATGCGGATGACAGTCCGTTAATGAAGTGGCACGAACGTCTGGCTCACCTGAACGAGGCAGCTTTGAAGTTCATGGTGAAGAACGACGTGGTGAGAGGCTTGGACATTCCTGCCGAGCAGCTGAAGACCAAGTTAAAGTGTCTTAGCTGCATGTCGACAAAGCGAAAACGCATGTCGTATGGGGATGTCACCGAGAAAAGAACTGTTCAAAACTTTGAGCGGTTGACCTCAGATGTATGTGATATGGGGAAGTACGGACCAGGAATTGGTGCAATGCGGTACTTCCAGCTCATTCATGATGAGGGCTCGCGATACAAGTGGTGCTACCCGCTCGTACACAAGAGTGAAGCTTCTGGCAACACGCAACGGCTGATGACTGAGCTACTGGCTCAAGGCAAAAGGATAATAACGTTCACGAGTGACGGAGGGGGGGAATACGTAAACAGTGTGCTGACGGGGTTCCTAGAGAGCAAGGGAATCACCTTCGTCCCCACTCATCCGTACACACCGGAAGAAAATTGCTTAGTTGAAAAACTAAATGGTGTTCTCGTGAACAAGATGCGTGCTGTCATGCACGCGGCCAATTTGCCGATGATATTGTGGCCGGAGGTTTTGCGCTATGTGGTGGAGGTGGACAACCTGAGTCCGACAAAAGCTTTGCAAGGGTTAACCCCGACTGAAAAGCTGTCAGGATTAAAACCTGACGTTGCGCAACTAAAGGTGTGCGGCTGTGTGGGATACGTATTTGTTCCGAAGGAGACCAGGAAGAACAAGCTTTCAGCAAAGGCTGAACCGGGACTGTTTCTTGGTTTTGCAAGGATGGGTCATGGCTACCGACTGCTTCATCTGCGAAGTGGGAAAGTGATTGAAGCCCGCGACGTCAAGTTCCGCGAGGACGTGACGGTCGAGCGCACATACATTAACGCGCTGTTGAAGGGCCGACAGCACTATTTCCCGCAGATACCATTTGTTCCACTCCCAGTGGAGTACGTTGCTGACGAAGCCGTTCGGGCCGGAGCTCATGAAGCAGTAAGAGAGGCTGTTAATGAAACTGCACGGATAGATGATCAGCCGGTTGAGCAAGCGAACACCGAGCAGCATGACTTAGCAGCAGAGGCTGCAGGTTCGGTGGGAGCAGCAAGTGCATCGAATGACAGAGAGTCACAAGAGAACGATGATGTAGATGACAAAATGCCAACGGCGGATCAACTTCGACCTTGGTCGGAACGCAATCCGGACTTCCTAAATGGATCTCAACCGCGGCGCAGCTCGAAGCGCAAGCGTGGATGGCGACGATCAGAGCGTATCCGAAAAGAAAATGTGCGGTTGAAAGACTATGTGATGGCTTCCTTGGAAGCACTAGAGACTTTCGCAGGAAATCCTGCTTCTGTTGAAGAAGCTCTAGCGTCTCCACAACGTG